TAGCAGCAACAAAGTGAGGAAATGTTGTTGAATGGCACATTAATGAAAATTGACTGACTAACAGATTGTGACGGCTTGTGAAACTATTTTTAAAAAGTCTCACACCAGTGGGAAAGAATGATAGAAAAAGTTCAAGTTTTCATTTCACATGACAAAAGCGGTACCTACCAGTCCTATCAAATTAGTTTTGGCACCACAGTCACTATCATTAATGTGTGTGTGTGTGTGTGTGTGTGTGTGTGTGTGTGTGTGTGTGTGTGTGTGTGTGTGTGTGTGTGTGTGTGTGTGTGTGTGTGTGTGTAAAGTACACATGTACATAGGTTAGTATGTTAGTGTTTTCTTAACTCATAGTTCAACTATAAACCTCTGCAGACTATTAAATCTTAAAATACAAGAAACATTTAAAACAAAACTCTAAATATTTGAACTGATATTTTTGTAGTTTTCCTGAAGAATCCCAAGAAAATGATACTTTAGAGAAATGAAAATGTTTGGTCAAACTATCTGTGTCTTGTGGTGCCCAATTTTGGCCCTTACACTGCAATGATATTCTAGCCCTTTGTACCTGTGATGCTATATGAGACATAAATATCAGACATAAATCAGATAAACCTTACCATCTAAATCTTGCAACATAAGACAGACACTAAAAAGACATAAAACAAAGAATCCCTTCACATTTTCTTAAATCTAAGCTTGTTATCCAAAGTTCTATGTTAAACCTCAGCTAATCAACTGATGAGCCCGCTGATTGTTAACAAAAATTAGTTAGATTTTCTTAGACTAATTTTTCCCTTTGTGAATCATAATATTGAAAATAGACTTGTATTAATTTCATACTTTTATTTTTTCAGTTATACACACTAAAATATAGGCTTATTTTCCAGGCACTGTATAGAAATTTAGCCCACATGATTTCCACTTTACATCACTGCAAAATTTTTATTTGTATTTCTAGGCCTCCCATTGAAATGTAGAATATAAATGTATATGACATTTTTATTCAAGATTTGTTGGGGGGGAAATCTAAAAATCTTTCTTCATCTCTGTCCTAGGTATGCTAGTTCTGCTATTGACCGTCAAGGAAGCACATCCATGAGGAAGGTAAATTACCATTACAGGACATTTAAAAAAAATCAATGTCATTTTCATTTCTTAATGTAAAAGATAGATTACATTATATTGAAGTGTCTGTCCTTGAGTTTTGCCACTAGTGATAAAAAGTCTAAAACTCAAAGGGCTAAGGAAATAAAAATTGCCCCTTATTCCCCTCTATTGTTTATCTACATTTCAAATAATCATGAGAGGAAGCAGCTGTAATTATGGATTGGAAGTCCATGAATCAGAAAGCTTAAATTAAGAGAAAAGACAGAAGATAGATACAAGCACACAGGGGAATGTAGGGAAACAGACAATATTGGTCAACATTATAGTCAATTATTGTCAGCAGCCCAACCACTGTCATGTGGTAAAGGACAGTGGTATGTGGTAAAGTGTATGTGATAAAGGATAGTTTTATGATGGGATCTGAAGGAGATATTTGAATATTGTGAACATTGACAGTGAACTCCTGTTACATGGGAAGGGCAATATCAGCAAAAGCACAAAGGTGCCTGCAAATTTGTCAAGTGGGTATGGGAGACTCATCATAGGCTGGTCATCTCCTGCCTCTTTTCTTTCAGTACTGAATGAGAGATACTATGTAGAGAAGGGATAGGCCATGAAGAGTCTTCCAAGTGAAGACAAGTAGCTTATGTTTGCTACATCTGGCCCACTGGCTCCCCACAGGTCTAGAAATTTGCCTGCAAGGGAGTGGTGGCAATTAACACTACCACCGCTCCCAAATTTCCAAACACCACATCCAGATGACATGGCCCCATGAGCTGGATTAAGCCATGCCCAGGGCTGGTGTGCCAGGCCTAATCCAGCATGCATGGGGCTGGGGCAGTAGGTCCATTCTGCTGTGCATAAGGCCTGATCTGGTACACACAGGGCCAGAGCTGGGGTGGGGACAGAAGGCCTTAGACAGGATTGAGAAAGCTGTGCACTAGTGGGCCGGGCTGAGCCAGGTCTGTTCAGTATGTACAGAGCCCAGGTCACACAGTGCCGTACCACTGCCGGCTATGCCTGCAGCCGGTCCACAGCTGCGCTGGCTGTTCCTGTCAGCACCGGTGGGGGGAGATGTTCAACAGCCCCTGCTCGAGCCCCTCCACAAACCCACCCACACACCACACATCCCCCCACCACTCTCCATACCCCTGACATCCCCCCCGCCACTCTCCATACCCCTGACATCCCCCCCGCCACTCTCCATACCCCTGACATCCCCCCCGCCACTCTCCATACCCCTGACATCCCCCCCGCCACTCTCCATACCCCTGACATCCCCCCCGCCACTCTCCATACCCCTGACATCCCCCCCGCCACTCTCCATACCCCTGACATCCCCCCCGCCACTCTCCATACCCCCGACATCCCCCTGCCATTCCCCATACCCCCCAACATTGCCTGCCACTCCTCACACCCCTGTCCCCCTGCCACTCCTCATACCCACCCACACCCATACCCCTCTCCCCACATCCCTAACTTACCTGTGACAGTGCCTAAAGCAGCAGGAGCACCATAGAGATGCTCTGGCCAGAAATCAATGTCTCTCTGGAGGACCAATTCCCAGGTTACCTCAGGGCGTGGTTGGGAACCGTGCCCAGCCCTGTTTCCCCCCACACACACACACACACACACCCTGTTTTTTATTTTGGTACCTGACTTTCCAGGTATCAAACGTTGAGCCTGCACTGCAAATATGCAGTTTGGGGAACATTTTTTTGTTCCCAGTGTGCGTCTTGCAGCATCTCGAACTCCTTTGAGACGCTGCAAGAAACATATGCAGGCTCATCTGGACACACCCTTAAAGGTCTAAGTCAAAATGATACCAATCTGTATAATATTATCCCCAGTGATGGAGAAAGAAGATAGTGGTGAAGGATTTAAGGAAAAAGATTAAGAGCTCAGTTTTAGTCATAACATGCATTATCTTACATCTGTAAACCCCAAAAAAGATAAGAGAGAGGCTGAGACAGGAGACAAGGCTAGAGTATGGATGTGTCAGATCTACTGCAGGTCAGGTACTTGCACACAAGCACAGAGGTGAGTATGAAGTGAGCAAAACATTTACTCTTCTTCCCAATGTGCCAAGCAACAAAGCTATGTGAGAGTACTTCTTCCCAAAAGCAAGGGAAAAGATGAAGTGATGTCCCTTCAGTCTGTTCTAGGTTACTGTAACTAGTTACTTCCCCATGTAACTTTCGGTAAGTACAAAATCAACTGTTACATTGTTTTTAATTATTTGAACTAAATGGATATGATTGGATCTTAAAGTTAAATCTATGTATACTTTAACAATACTTTAAATTTTCACCTAGCTAAATATATACCTGTAGAAGTTATATCTGCAGAAGAGAAATTGTGTCCCATTTTCATCTCTGATCTTTAATTTTCTAAATTAATATTTGTCCTCTGTTTTTTTCGGCTGATGCAGCCTTCAGTTGCACAAGCAAAAACATTGTTGCAGGCTGCATCCACATTTCTAAGGGTAGAATATGGTCCTCTGCTAGACTGCTGAGAAATTTAGATTTCTTCTTGGTTGAGTTCAAGACAATGAATACATTTAACTTACTTTTTGTATCGAGTAGGAATGAGATGTTGACTCCTAAACAAAGATATTAAGACCTACATTATAATGAGTATTTTAAAAATTCAATAGGGCCTGAACCTCCTGTGTGTTCTCTAACCTACATGCACTGAAGGAGGAACTGCTAGAGGAATCTTGTCATTCCTGTTAGACATAAATTAAGTTCCTCCAAGAAGTGTTTAGTAGCACGGAGGCTGTGTACAGTATTCCGATAATCTGGGAATTCATTCAGGTTTGTTCTCCTGGCAGCAAAACTTACCCAGAGCCCGGTGTACACATATTCAAATGCTGAGGCTCTGAAGAATAGGGAGCTTGCAGTGCTAACACTGTGCAAGCATGGAGGCAGAGGGAAAGGAGCCTGTGCATGTATCTCACATGCTCTGCAGGCTCTCTTAATCCACCTGATGCCAGATGGAAGCAGTGTATAAGTAGGCTGACTATAAGGAAATCTGGACATCGAGGACACTGCCCCCCCTGTCCCTGCAGTGCTGCTGCAGGCAGAGGTGTGGTGTGGTGTGGTGTGGTGTGGTGTGGTGTGGTGGGTGGGCAGTGGTGCCTGCCTGACCACCTACCTGCCTGGCATGCCATGCCACTCTACTGGCCTCCAAAATCAGGGACTGTCCTGGCTAAACCAGGATGTACGGTCACTCTATGCATAGGACAACCCTGATTGGCTGCCCCAGGCTGTCTATAGTCGGCCTCTGGTTCCAGTGCATCATAATGTGGGGATTGTGAAGGGGGAATGTGCTGCTCCCTACAGCAGAGTCAAGGTCACAACACACTGTCTCCCTGAGTTGGGCTGGAGGAGGAGAGAGGAATGTGAAAATGTATGTTCTCTTCTGAGAGAAGCCAACCCATGTACAGACATTTGCTCTCTCAGGAGAAACTCCTGGGAGTTATTTAGCTCTGGTTGTTCCCAGGTTATTTTTCTCCTCAAGTGGTCATTTTTACTCTGGGAGAAAAATCATGAACTCCTGTACGCTTGTGGTTTCTTGGAGGGGAGCAGGAACTCTCTCAGGAGAAACCATATGTCTGTACAAGGCCAGATGAGAGTGTCTCTTGGTTTGAAGCACCTGCACACGTTTCAAAACCTTCACCTGAACTGGCTTTTACTGTTATTGATTAAATGTTTACCTAATGTTGGGCAGAATCATGTCAGTTTCTTCAGAGGCAAAGCTGTCCAGTGAGTTTTGCTTCCCCCTTAGAGGTGAAATGCTCTTTCTGCTGACATAAGGAAACATTAAAACATCAAATACTAACAAAGTAATTCTGAGTGAGCAGGAATCTGGGGAAAAATATAGTAATAAAACAAATGGAGAAAGAGGGATTTGGAAGACACTTTGTTATGAGTTTACTTGATACGTGTTTCATTTTTTTGCTTCTAGTTATGTTAAAGTTAGCATCAAGACTGATCTCCATATTTGGGGTCAAAAAGGAATTTTATCCCATGGTCAGATTTGCATGGATTATGCGGGGTTTTGCCTTCCTCTTTAGTCACTGGGGGAGGGAGTGGGGGAAGTGGGGCAGGAAGCATGGCCCTCTACCTGGGATCTCTTAAGTATATACTGACAACATTTCATAGAAACAGGACATGGCTGCCATGGTTCTTCCACTTTACCTGTGGCAGATTAGTGTGTTAGGTCTGTGTTGTGTCAGGGCTGATGGTAGTTTTATGTAGGGTTTAGATTATGGATTGTATAGGATGATTTGAATAGGAGTGGTCCTGCTACAGGGAGGGGACTGAACTAGATAACTTCTGGAGATCCCTTATAACCCTACTTTTCTATGATTCTTAGTTCTATTATTTTAATTAATTTTTATTAGTAAGAAGGAATCCAAAGTGACAGGCTTTGAAAATTTATTCTAATTACATTAATGACATGTTAGACAAGAAAATCCATATCTTATCTGATACAGTGCATCAGATTTTGGACAGCATACTCATGACTAAAGAGAGGAAATACAGCAACAATATTCACAGTTAAATTAGAAGCTTACTATTACTCCTTTGGTTCCAGCTATGTCATAGTGTCCTACAATTTAAACACTTCACATTTTTTTCCAGTTCCATGATCTGATTTTCAAGTTACTCTTTATGTTTTAGTGACAAATGCTATGGGTCTTGAGAATAGGGAGGCTTTTCTTCAGAAATGTATATCTCTAATGAACAGCTGATTGTATCACTGGTGTAAAAATTCTTTAGAAATGACTTTGTAATTATCATCAACATAAGATTCTTCTTCTATTAAATGCAAGTACAATACATGACATAACTGTTTAAGAAATTCCATCAGGAAGTCCATGCATTTATAAAAGAATTACATAATTTATTAATGACAGATTATTTCAAATTATGCTACATTTAGTTGGAAAATTATATTTCATAAAAACTTTTTTTTATCAGTATCATGGC